TCGGTAAGAGTTGAGCAAAAAAGGAAAGTACACAGGTGCATCTTCTCAGTGTTGCAGAGATTAGAAAAACTGGACCCTCCAGGGAGGTAAGCACAAACACCCCTCACATTTGAAATTACCACTCGCAGAGGCCTACCTTCCTGAGGCTGACTTGCTAGCCAGCCACTGACACCTCCCCGGCCCCACACTGTGTAACTGTGGGCCTACTGGCAAATACCTGCAGAAGGCCACCACACGAGGGGGATCCTGGACCATTCAGTTCCACTCACCTACAGAAGCCCCATGTGTACACACCAACACATGCACATGGGGCCCATTCTCGTGGTCATGCAACACATGGTCAGCTCAGCATGTAGCAAATGAACAAGGCAGAAAGGCTTTCTAGAAAAGCACAAAACACATTGGAAAATAAAATTTCCTGCTTCAGGAACCATTTCACATAATGAGAAAGCCAAGGAAAGCCAAGTTGTTCTTTAAACATGGAGATTATCCTCTAGGCTTTTGTCTGCTGGTTAGTTGCTGGTTACTTGAGCTGCTCCTACAGGCAAAAGGATTGCAGTAAGAGCAATCAGGCAGCACACAACACCACATTGCTCACGGATGATAAGCTGGGATTCTGCAAAATTCTGGCTTTGCATTATATGAAAACGCAGCCACTGTGGAAGCCTTTTAAGCGTGTTCTTACTGCATCAGCACTGCCATACTTCTGATTTCAGCCCCTTTTCTTGGGCAGGGGTTAAATTCATTTTGATTTTGTTGAATAGGACCTTAAGTTATGGATGGCATATGGTAGATTTTCTAGAGTGGCAGGATGGGCATGCTGTCTTCCAGCTGGTTTTGTAGCTTACGACACAGGAAGAGCAACAGTTTGCATAAGGAAATTGAAATGCAAAAGCTCTTTTTAAATCCTTATTAAAAACATATGTTGTTGGAGATGGGGGTGTACCTACAGGGTAGTAACTACAAAGCAAAATCCTACTTTGACAAATAATCAGCATTATTTTTCACTACATTGGGCCTTACTGCTATATAATCCTCACAAAAGAAAAAAGAAATGGACAGTTACAATATAATAAAACAAATCTTAAATGACAGAAGAGTATTATTTGGCAAAAAAAAAAAAAAACCTCACAAAAATCTGTGTGTGCAAGCACGTATTATTTCTGACTTTTACAAAACCATGAATAATTGATATTGCAATGAAAAAACAAGCAGCTGAGGACAGAGTGGCCAAATTTCCATTCTCTAACTTGGGACAAGCCAGGCTTGTACAAGAAGGGTGGACTCCACTTGAACCAAAATAGGACCAGACTAGTGATATTAACATAAAACAGTGACACAGCAGTTTTTAAATGGAACCACGCGGGGAAAGCCAGCAGGAGCTGGGAAGCATTCTGTCTGGGTAGAATAATTCCTAGGGAATAAAAATGAAAGTTTTTCCAACTGCCCAAATATAGAAGGGGGAACAGGGGACAAGCATCTAGTGAAACATGAGGGCAGTCAAACCAAGGCCTAAGTGCCATAGCAGAACCTGTACAGGCCAGAGGCATCTGGGGAAGGCAGCTCTGTATAGGTGTTTCTATGCATAACCAAGAAGCCTCTAAAACCAGGATGGGAGAGTTGGACTGCCTGGTTTTAAAGGAGAAACTAGACTCGGGGGGCATTATGGAAATCTAGTGGAGAGAACCCATGCGATATGGTCATCTCTGGATATAGAGGAAGGCACGTCCAAGGTCTTCCTTGTTCACCAATAAGGGTACAGTGTCAAGAGGACTAGAAAGGCTAGAAGGGCAGACTCTTCTACAGAAAGATATGGGGTAATATACTGGGCTCTAAAATGAATTTAGTACTAAAAGCATCCTACTGTCCTCCAGACCATAAAGCTCAAGGTGATCCTAAGATGGAAAACAAACCCAGGGTGTTGTAATAATGGGTGACTTCAGTTACAGTCCACAGTGACTGGATATGTGTACGTTCTAGTCACAAGAACAGGTAAAATCCTGCAGCCTTCCAACATTGTTTCTTTTGGGGATTGGGGGACCTAGGATTACTCAGAGTCCCTGATCCAGACTCTTCTAATCTGGGAACTGGGACTGCAGCCATGGAGCCCCTGCCATGCCCCAGTAACACCCAGCACAAAAAGAACAGGCATGCTGTGGCGGGCAGGGAGAAGGCTGAGGCCAGTGGCTTACACTATAGCAAAACTGTGCCCCAGCCTCTTTCCCTCCCCATTGCTTCCCCTAGACCAGTGGTTTTCAGCCACCTGTCTGTGGAAGATTTCCTGCTGGTCTTGGAAGGGGGCGCATCCCCCTTGCTGCAGACCAGTGTGGGGGCTGGCTGTGCTCCACCACCTCTTCCTCAGTTGGCATCACATTCACCGAGGGGGGGGGGTGCCCGTCCCGCCGGGGGGGGGGGAGGGACGAGTAGAAAGATGGCTCAATGGGAGCCACACTGCACCAATTTCAGTATTTTACTCTTTTGTCAGCATTTTTGTTGCTCAGTTTCTGGTTCTTTTGGAGAATTCTCATTTTTTGGGTATTGTGTTTGGAAACTAATTCACAGAATAATGCATTGTGCATATGGTGCTTTTTGTTTCTGCCTCAACCATCTCCGAGGGGGTTTTCCTGTTTTTGCTGTCCCCAGCTGTGGGAAGGTTGAAAACCACTGCTCTAGACTGATGGAAAGGGCTATATAAATGACATACAGGGTATCAAGATCAGGCGGCGGAGATTGCCACCGATGCACCTCATTCCACATTCACAGACTTACTTGCATCAAGGATTTCTTGCACCCAGTCCTGTGGAGATGCCTGTAACCCTCCAAACTAGGATTATTACAGCATCTCACAGAGAACAGAAGCACAGGTGTCAAAGTCACCTCGGCACTCTGCAAAGTAGCTAGATTGCCAATTTTGAAGAGGACGGAAGGACACTGAGATGCCACCCCAATACATATTTTGGCAGTGGCAGTGGTAGCAGCCCCACCCCACCCCACCAGAATGCCCACTGGACCTTCTTGAGGGTTGCTTTTGCAGCCTGAGAGAAGCAACAAAAGTTCTTCCCACACCAATTGTGGCAGGGACAGGTGATCTGAAGTTGGAGCTATTTTCACACCTTGGAACTGTGAATCCATATATTCCTATGTATGGATTCACACGTGCTGCTCCGCCTATAAGCTATAAAAACCTCCAAGTTGCCAATGGATTGCAGTTATGGTTTTGTCAGGAAAGAGGAGGAATATTCTTATATTTCTTTTACATTTGTTCTTTTCTGTATTTTATTTAAGAAAACAATAAAAAATTAAAAAAGGGAAATATTACATGTTAAACACTCCGCCAACAATTTGATTTAAACTCAATGTGCATATTTGTCCTTATAATTAATTTTAACAAGCTTGCCATCATTTCAATATGGAACTCTAATGTCTCCAATGACTGATGGCAGGGCCCATCCCTTTTTAATACACACGAGCCACTTTGGGAGACAATCACCCAAGAAGTAGAACAAATATGCAGTGAATAAATTAAAAATAAAATCATGGAAAAAGTCTGTTCCCATCCATTTCCTTCCGGGAAATGATTCCAACATACAACAAACAAACATAGAATGAGCCCTTAAAGTATATCAGAGTATTTGTCCCTGTAGACTTTGGGCAGGATTAGGGTTAGACAGAAAAGGAAGCCTGTAATTCCCAGCAAGGATGGCTGGAGCATGCTGGGTTTTTTCTCTATCTAAACATATTTAAGGCTATGCCTTACTGCATTCTTGGTTTTCTGACGTTTTCAAGTATGGAAGTTTTATTATCACATTATTGTATTTTGTGGTTCTAGTTTCTGATTGCTGCTTTGGCCTGACATGATCCAAAAACTGATGTATTGATAGTTCAAAGAAATAGAATAGACCGGCATTGTCTGCTCTGACTGGCAGCTGCTATCCAGTGTCATAGGCACATCTCCTTCCCATCACCTGTAATCTGATTCTTCTTAAATGGACTGAATCTGAGGCCTTCCACATCTAAAGCATGCACTATGAGCTATTCCCCTTCCTTAATAACAGAGCAGATCTCAACAACATATGACAGGAGAAGGGCTGAAAGGCCTATCTTTCAAGGCCTATCTGGATCAGGCTGTCATTGCCACAGTAGCCAACCAGATACCACAATGGGCAGCTCACAAGCAACACATGAGCATGACAACACCATCCCACTCATGTTCTGCAACAACTAGAATTCCAAAGTGCCCCGCTTCTGATACTGGAAGAAATGTATACCCACCCTGATTAATAGCCAATTATGGCGACCCTCCATTAATTTGTCCAAGCCTCTCCAAAGCCATCCAAATGGATATATCTCACCGTTTCCCCCTTGCAAGGAAGCCAGGGTTCCCCCCTTTCTACATTTTATCCTCACAGCAACAATCCTGTGAGGTGGGCTAAGCTGTGGCAGTGACTGGCCCAAGAAGTGGGCTTCATGGCCAAGCGGGGGCTAGAAACCAGCTCTCCCAGTCCAGCACTCTAACCACTGCACCCCCTGCTGTGTGACCAGGTCCTGCTGCCCCATAGCCAGCCGACCAAGCAACCAACCCCCCACTCCACCCCCACCAATAAATAACAATCCCACCAAAACTTCACATCAAGCCACCACGACTGCGCCCACAACAGAGAAGAGCACAGGAAGGAAGCGCAGAAGGAGGAGTTGCGGAACAGATACAATCCCCCTCGACCTCAATTTTCCCTACCCTTCCATTTTAGCCCTATGGCTTTGTAACCCCCTAACAAGCGCTGGGAGAACTGCAGCCTTTGCGACACAGAAGCGCCGCCCGGGCACTTCTCCGGCGCTACTGAATGACGTCAGCGGACATGGCCGACTCCAGGAGGCCTCCCGCGTGCTTGTCTTTCCCGGAAGCGCCGTAGAAGAGTTGGTGGGAACTTCGCGGGAGGCTTACCGGTAGGCACGGAAAAGGTTTGGGGCGGCTGTTAGACCCGCGAGCGGGCTGGACGAAAGCGGGACGAGGTCTGGTGTCCGAGCGTTGCGTAGAGAAGAACTGGAAGGAGACAGTTGTAAGGAGGACATAAGGGTTGTCACCAGGAGAACAGGGAGATCAGTAGGCGCTCCCTTTATTCCGCCCCCCCGAAAACTCCTACAGGGCGCTGGTTTCCTTGTTCCATCAAGCCGCTCGGGAGGCTGCAGTGCGCAATCCAGTGCATGTAGGACCTTTTTCTGTCTAAGTAACTCCCATTACTACTGCTGTTGCTGCTATTATATATGTCCCATACTGGTTGAGGCATGTTGAGAGTGGTGGGATTCCTTTCTCTCTAAACATGTATACGATTGCACCCCAAGTGAAAGAAACCTAAGGTAGCCTACACAGTTCATCTCCCCTACATTTTAGCTTCACAACTTCCCTGTGAGGTAGGTTAAGCTGAAAGAACAATGCTACCTAGTGAATTTCAAGGCCAGGTGGGGCTAGAACCGAGATCTCCTCCCCATGATGGAGTATATGCACAGTCTGCCTGTTCTGCCAGGAACTCAGAGTGGAATACATTACTTTCTTCTCTTATCCCTTTCTTTATCTTTGCATAAAACTTGTAAGTAGTTTGGGCTGAGATAAGGTTTCAGTTTTGTAAATGAGTGATGATATTGTGAACTGTCCTGAGATGTCAGTGATGGGACGGTATACAAAAGTTTTAAATAAATAAATAAAATTACATGTGCCAATGACAATATATGCCTTTTCTTACAAGTAAAGCCCATTGAAACCAATAAAATTTCTGAGAAAATACTGGTTTAGGGTAGGGCTGTACAGCCAGCTTTGATTTAGATGCTGTTTTGGTTGGCTTTACACTGTAATAATGCTGTTGTGTTCTGCTATTGTGGTGGGGCAGATTTTGTGTGGGGCAAGCATTATGTGTTTCTGACACAGGAGGTCCTTGATGATCCTGTTATTTTTCCCCCAGTTTAGAAAAAGAAACAAACTTTTACAAGTTCAGTTTTAGTAGATTTTGTTTTCTCACTGGCCTTTTGTTAAGCATTCTTTGATGTCCTCAGTTGGAAGGAGGCGCACTACTACTTTTTAATATGGTGTGAATCAGTTGTCTTTAACAAATGTGTGTCGGATGCATTCAGCCAGTGTCCATACTCTATCACTGCACATACATAGTGGAGAAAGATGTATTTATTAATTTTTAGCCTGTTGTGCTAAACTTTGCTGGGAAGAAGTACAGACCTGCTTAAACAGCTGCATGTTTAAAACTGTTGTTCAAAACTGCCTAGAGTGTTTCAACAATTAGATGATACAGAAATGTAGTAAATGCATAAATAAAGTGGAACCAGTATCAAACTGTGACACTGAATTCTGCACTCTCACTCATTTAGAACTGAAATTAGAATGCTGGTCAAACATTGAATTTTTTTCTAGATACTAAAGAAAGGGACTTACTTGTATCTTTTTATATTGTGTTGCAGAGGTGTTTGTTACCTGCCTTCCTCTTGGCCCTGCAATAGTCAGGAGCAAATAGTCAGTAGCACAGAAAAGTTTCTCCTGTTCATTATATACCTGCAGCCATTCCTAAGCAAGAGCAGAAGCCATCTTGACTGGAAAGCTTGCTGCCCAGTGGGTAGAGTGTCAGACTAGGATGAGGGGAAACCCAGATTCAAATCCTTTTTCAATCATGAAGCTTACTAAGTGATGTTGAACCAGTTGTAAATTGGAGGATAAATGGAAGGAGGCTATGTTTATATCTTCGAAGGATGGTCAGAATAAAAATGTAATAAAATGTACAGCAATTTTTAAATTTTTGCATTATCAGTTCATGGTGACAGCCATCTAGAAATGGCACTATTCCAAACAGAGTGGGCCAACACTGCAGCCTTCCGGGATACTCTGTCTCTGACCTTAAAGTGACCACTGTGGAATAAAGAAATGTCAGTGGGAGATGAGAGTCTTCATCAAGGTTCAGTCAGAGGCTGAAATCAGAATGCAGGACTTCCTATCATGTTACGCATATTAATGGTGCACTTAGAACCTGGATATTTGTGTTGCCAGCAGCAACTGTATTGTGAATAACCACTGTTAACAATGTGATTGTCACTGACAGTACTTTTTGTTTTTAATTTCTTTCTGACTTCATGGTACACAATTGCTGTCAGCACCACTACCACCTGTCATTCTGTAAAATAAGCAGAAACTCTTTTTAGCACTCCATGGATCTGATGAAGTATGCTATCACCCACAAAGTCTTGTGCTGGAATATTTTTTTTTAGCTTTCAGGTGGCACAAGACCCTTTGCTGTTTTCACCATTCACTTAGTTATCTTGTCATTAGCTTAAGTATCTAACTTGTCGATGGCTATAACTCCGGTGATCTTATAACATTAGCTTACTACAGTGGCACCCATAGTAAAATCAGAATGACACAGGGAGGATTATCATGGCTGTTCTGCAAGTATGACACACATATTTGTGAAGTGTTCCATAGACAACCAGTATGATGTAGTGGTTAAAGTGTGGGCCTGGGGACTTGGGAGGTCTGAGTTCTTGGCCGTGGAGCGCCATGAGTGTCTTTAGGCCATTCACTGACTCTCACTGTAACCTACCTCACAGGGTTATTGTTGTGAGGATAAAATGGGAGTTCAACTGTTTTGGGTTCCTCAAAAGAGGAAAAAAGTTGAGATATCAATAATACCAATAGTAACTACAGCACTTGACCATGGTTTGACTGCTCAGATGTCCAATCCTACCTGTGTTCTTTTGATGTTTAGGAGTGCAGTCCTGTGCATGTTCAGACACTAAAAAGTTTGCAGCTCTGCATGCCCCACCTTTTATTATTCAGCTATACCACCTGTAGCTGAAGCTCTTTGAGTGGTTCACAACTTTCAAATCACCCATCCAGATTTCAACCAGGCCCAATTCTGCTTAGCTTCCAAGATTAGGCAGGATCAGGCATTTCAGACTATACAGAAACTATAAGAGGGTATACTCTAGGCCCCCTAATTTCCATGTTTTCTTTTGACTGCAGATTTGAAAAGTAAGTGCTTGTGGTTATATTCCTATTGTATACAGGCTTAATTGCAACCCTTTTTGTGTCCAGAGAGCCCTGTGTGGCAGCTGCCAGTTAGAATGCAAGTCGGACATGCTTCCTGCCTGAAAGAAATAAATAAACTTACAATCAATACAAAATTTGAGAGGACTGCTGTTCAGAACAAAATATGCAGAACCAAATGTTCAAAAACTAGGAAGAGAACATAAGCATATGAAGGACATTTTGAAGCATGTTGCAGTAGGAGTTGCTTATAAGTGACTATTTTAACTTGTTTTTCTCTGAGGAGAAGTTGCAGTAGCTGTTACCAATTTTTTATATAAATGGACTCAACAGGTTGAAGAGGGCTATCCTAGGGACAACCTTTCCTATTATTAAGGAATAAAATTATTCCTTAAGATTATTCTTTTAAGATTGTTAAGAGCTATTCTCATGCCTCCTAGTTGTCCTCTTCCCTCTCCCTGTACAATGGGATTGTCATTGGAAATAGAACTCCATAAGATGTACACTTCATTTGTCTTATATTCACATCTTTGCACATAAGTTCATGTATTTTGCTCCTTTTCCTTCCGTTCTGTTATTCTCCATTAACTGATTTCAGCGGTGTAGCATTTACTCAGTTGCATAGTGACTTTCAGAATGATCTCCTAAATCATCCAGGTTGTTGTTCAGTGGACCATCATCCAGTGGACCTTCTTAGGAGTAACCAGCAAACATTCAGACTAAACTCCTAATGGCCACTAAGCTGCTAAACATGGGCTATTTTTGTTCATGTTACCAGTAAGAAGAGCTACAAGCTTAACTTCTGATAAAAAATAAAGGCTGTGCCTGTGTGCTCACTTGTTCTCTGACCTAAATGCTTTGACAAGAGAAATTGTTTCTTGTCAGTGGTGGCCCCTTGCTTCTTTTCCAGTGGATGTCTGTGAGGCCCCATTATTACAGGCATTAAACTGCAAACCCTTTTTTCCCCCCATTGTGTATAATTGATCACTTCCTTCATTGAGTGACTGCTGTTGCTTACATAATATTAACCAGTTTAAATTGCTACTTCTGGTTTTATAGTTGATTTTGATTTGATTCTTGTATCATTGTTCTTTCTGATTAATTGCTTTATTGTGCTTTATATTTTAAATTGTATGCATTGCTTTGTGTATCCCGTGTATAGATCTGTGAAATAACTAGAGCATTTTAATAAATTTGGGAATTGTCATAGTTGTGGTGCAGCAATTTGGTGGCCCTAATGTCACTGATAAAGGCTAATAAAAGCTTCCCTGGTTGTTCTTTAATAAACTGCTCAGATTCATGGAAGGTGCCTTCCAAATGGGCAGGAAGATCAAGGGAAGTCCTACTCAGGAGCTAAAGAATGGAAGAAGAAGGCATCTGAAGAGGAGTTTTGCCAATAGGCAAAATTATTTTTAAGCTGTTCAGAGGGAATACATACTCCAATGGATGAAAGAAAGGTTTTATTTTTAAAAAGCAGATTAGCAGAAGAGCCAGTGTGGTGTGATGGCTCTGGGCATCCGGGAGATCCAGGTTCTAGTTCTAACTTGGCCATGAAGCTCACTGGGTGACTTTCGCCCAGTCAGTCTCTTTCAGCCCAGCCTACCAAACAAATTTGTTGTGGAAATAAAACAGAACCATGTAACCTGACCTGGGTTCCTCACAAAAGGAAAAAGGTGGGATATAAAGGCAGTGTGGTATTGATAAATAATAGTCACTGTGCTAAATTAAAAACCATGTTTGCAATACTTTCCCTTTGTTCTTCTTTGAAGGTCAGTCATGAAGCCCAGACGAGGAAATAAGTTTAAGTCACCATCTGTATTTAAGCGAAAGGGCATCAGGGTTATAGGAAAATGGAAACCAGTGGAGGTTGACCCAAATATCTTTGCTGATGAACAGTTTGGAGGCTTAGTATGTTTTGAGGAACTTACAGATTATAAATTGGTGTCATCTTTGAAAGCTGCAGCAGGAAAAGTCAAAAAGAGAAAATCCAGTAGTAGGCACAAAGAAGATGAAGAGTCTGAGGAAGAAATTAGTACCATTCCCAAAAAGAAAAGGAAGAAGGAGAAAAATCTGGACCATGAAGCAGGAAGCGAGGATGACCATCAAGTGGAAGAAATGGGAGTAGGCCACACAGCCAAGGATGAGAAGTCCCTTGTTGGTTGTGAGCAAGAGGAAAGTGAGGCAGGGGCGGCTATAGGACTGGAGAGGAAACAAGGGAAGAAAAAGAAGAAGAAAGAACAAAAGACAAAAATATGTCCTTCCCAAGATGTCCCTGAATTAGTCAAATCCTCTAAAAAGGCTAAGAACTGGACAGTCCAAGCTTCGGATCGGAAAGCAGACGTTTCTGCGTGGAAAGGCCTCTTTGTTCCTAAGCCTGTTCTTCAGGCGCTGAGTGAATTGGGCTTCAGTGCACCAACTCCTATTCAGGCTCTGGCTCTGCCTTCGGCGATTCGAGATGGCATGGATGTCCTTGGCGCTGCAGAAACAGGTATAACCCCATGCTACACCCGTGCCTTGTGAGTACTAGTTTTCCACTGTCCAGGACACTAAACCTCTGTCAGCCTTACGGCCAAGTTCTCTTTTGGAGCCCCTCTCATGGACTGTGCTCCAGTGGTGGACAAGGCCAGTCCCAGAAGCTCTTTCTTAGCCACTCCTAGCTTGGACCCCCATCAGGCTATGTGAGACGAGGGGATATTTTTGCCCCAGTGTGTATCACTTTAGACTCTTTGACTGCACTTTATACCTCTTTTGGGAAGATCGTTTTGGACATCTCTGCAGTTGTGTTTTTGTTTTTAGTACCAACCTGAATAACTTGATGTTGTCTGCAGACTGGGCAGTGTTCAGCTGCCATTAACACATTGTTCAATGCTGACTCTTTTAGAAGTAGATTAAAAAGCACAGGTCCCAATACAGATTTGATGCGGGATAGGGCAACATTGCGTGTTGGTATGCTTAATGGGTAGAGAGTTCAGTGTGAATGCTCTTTGGTAGAGCACATGTTTTGTGTTCAGACAGTTTCTACTGCTGTCCCTGCCATTTGCAGCAAAAAACCAGCTTGCTGAGGAAGTGAGAGAGCCCTGGCTTGAATGCTGGGAATGCGCTGCCAGGGTTGGTGGAGAATGGTGAGCTTGCCAGAGCAATACTTTGATGCGGCAAATGTTTTCTTCCTGGGCTTCTTCCTTCTCTTTCACTCTTGCTCTCACCCTCTTTGTGTGTTTCAGGAAGCGGAAAGACCCTTGCTTTTGCCATCCCGATGATCCATTCCATCCTGCAGTGGTACAAATCAAAAGGTTTGGCTAGTGGGAAGGACCACCCGCTAGCTGGAGAAGTGGACAGCGAGGACGCCCTTTCAAGGCAGGAAGCGAGTGAAGAAGCCGAAGACCTGCATTCTGAGGAGGATGAACTTAGTGATGCCGCTGATGATGACAAAGCTCTGGCAACAAAGGGGCTGGAGGATGCCGAGTTCGATTTGGGTCCCTCACATCACACTGCTGATGCACGGAAAAGCAATCCTCTTCTAGGACTGGTCTTAACTCCTACAAGGGAGCTGGCTGTCCAAGTAAAGCATCACACTGATGCAGTGGCCAAGTTCACAGGTATGTCTGCGTGTGGCATCACTTTGCAGGGAAGGACTCAGTGATGTACAGATGGGAAGTGCTCACTTTGCCGCTGGCTCTGTCCAACTGCATTGCTTCAGTTTCATTGCCCTAACATGGAAGCCTATCTTCAGGTAGTGTTTTGTGCTGCTTCCTTCTCTGCAGGAGGAGCATGTGAGTGGCCCTCTGCTCAGATTCAGCTTCTTGAGAGAATCCCCAATTCTCTTTTTTCCTTTTTTAAAATTTAAAGCAGGTTTCTAGTCCTCATTGCTACCACATTACGCTTAAAGGTGTGTGGGCCAGTCTGTTAGAAACCAGAAAGGTAGCAGAATAAGGATTCCTGTGGCTGGTGGTGGAACTTCAGCACCTTGCTGGTTTCATCTGTGGCCCATGACTAGCAAAAGGCAGAATCCGTTATCCAAAACAAGTGGGTGCTCCTTCACATTCGTTATTGACTTATACAGCTTGAGAAATTGGAATAGGCTATATCGCATGGATATAAGGTTTTCGGTTGCTCCTAAGGAACTTAAGGTGACTTACATAATTCTCTTCCTCTTGTCCTCACCACAACAAGCCTCTAAGTTAGGTTGGGCTGAGAGGATGTGACTGGCCCAAAGTCACCCAGTGAGCTCCCTAGCTGAGTGGGAACCCAAACCCAGATCGCTTGAATCCCAGCCCCGTGCTCTTAACCGCTAGACCACACTTGCTCTAATTGTTGCTCATGTGTGCTATGATTTCTGCCCAACACAATAGATCTCTTTCTGTGCCTTCTAATTCTAATCAACATCTCTCCATGACACCATGACATCTCTCTCCTGGAGTTCCTAGGGCATATGTTTGTTGGCATATGGGTATTGCTGGATAAAGATTTGTTTGAGCTTGAGGGACATCCTGCCTGCTTCTAAATCAGTATTTGGGAGCAGGCCAGGTCAGGGCTTTTTCTACAGCCTTCAGATGCTAAGATTGGCCATGCTGTGTGCAGTTTCTAAAAAAAAAAAACCCAAAACAAAACAATGAGCTTTGTGCAAATCACACTACTTGCACAAATCAGGACCCAAAAAGCACATGGATCTGAAGCATAATTTGCTTAGTATTATCCATTTTCCACAAATTGTGCAAGGCCTACATGCTTTTTGGGAGCTGATTTGCATAAATTGGCAAAATCCCCCCCCTTTTTTTAATGCACAAATGGCCCCTTGTCTGAGAGAGAGAAGACTATGAGATGACTCAGCTGGAGGCTGAATTGTGCAAATCCATCAGATTTTCACCCCCAGTTGGATTCTTCACACATCCCTACTTTGTGACTTAGCTGCAAAGGAAACATCCTGATATCCAGTCATCTTGGCTTGACCATCTAGCCAGGTATTTGCTGGTCCAAGTGGCAGTTGATCTCCAAGGTTTTAGCCAAGGGAACTTTGGCAATCTCTGTTTTAATTGGCAGTGTCAGGGATCCCACCTGGACCTTCCGGCTACAAAGCATCTGTTCTACCACTGAGCTAGGTCACAAAAATAAAAAAGAATGGAGCAAGCCACAGGTGTTCCAGCAGAACTTAATGATGCCTGGTTGGGCCAGCGCTTTCTCATAAGGGCATTGCTGTGCTCTTGAATGCTAGAATTATGACAGATGGGTGTATAATACTGAAACGGCGGTTCTGCTCCCACATGCGTTGTTGCTTGGTGCATTCCAGGCATTCAGACAGCCATTCTGGTTGGAGGAATGGCTCCGCAGAAACAGGAGCGGGTCTTGAAGAGGAAGCCAGAGATCGTGATTGCAACCCCGGGGCGCCTGTGGGAGCTAATCCAGGAGAAACATCCACATCTCTCAAACCTACGGCAGCTCAGGTATTAAAATCATTTTCACAAAAAGGAAAGAAACAAGCGGGCCTTATCTGAAGAAGCATGGGCAGTTGTATTATTTCTAAATGCTTCCTAGTGTGAAAGGATTTGCTGCCACGGTAGCACTGATGGCACAGGTTCATTAGAAGTTCACACTTGGAGCTTTGAGAATACGTATCAGTGTCTCCTTGAAATGATCGTTGTTGCACTCGCCATAGTAACCATTTTCATAATTGCTCAGACTTGTCCCAGCTGCCCTTCATCTCCATGTCTCACAGAAAATTTCCAGGAAGTGGTGACCACCGTCTTACTACTCCTCTCTCATTCCTGCTAGAACAGCCTTCTCCAGCTTCCACTTCTTTTGGACTCCAGCTCCCATCACCCGTAACCAGCAGGGTCAATGGTCAAGCAGGCTGGGAGTTGTGGTCCAAAATATCTGGAGGGTATGGTCCTGGGGAGGATTAATGCCACTCAGCTGTCTCAAGCCTGAAAGCACCTTGAGGCCAGTTGTGGCTATGGGTGGCCAAGCCCATGATAACGCACCCTGTGGTTTAGCTGAGCCAGGGCTCATGGGAACCCAGCGCTGGCACGTCTTTATTAACAGACAGACAGACAGACAGACAGACAGACAGACAGAAATAAATATTTATTTATTTATTTATTTATTTATTTATTTATTTATTTAGAGAACTTTTATGCCGCCCCATTCGCCGAAGCCTCAGGGCGGCTCACAATCATAAATAAATAAACACAATATAAAACAGTATAATTTAAGTCGCCCTGGCCAAAGAATAAAATAAATAAATAGTATTAACAATTAAAATAACATTTGAATAAAAAGGTCGTCGCCTGGCACCGAAAAACTGCCTGGCAGCTCTATTTTGAACCAATTGAAGTATCCGGACCGTCTTCAAGGGCAGCCCCACGTAGAGCACGTTACAGAAGTCAAGTCGGGAAGTCACCAATGTGTGTGTCACTGTCGCCAGGCAGTGAAATGTTGGCATCTTCCGCCACTCACTCAGAAGTCCCCTCTTCATTCTGACTGTAGTTGTCACAGTAGCTGGTAGAAACTTATTTTTTCCCAAAACAGGATGTGGTTCCTTTTTTGGAATGGGGTGGCTCAGTCTTAAATAATGAGGGAGAGCTGTGAACTTAACAAAAGATGTGCTGTTTGTGTGGCTAAAACACAATGCTGGGATGGGTTTACTGTTGTGGCTCAACAGCTGCCTGAATGCTTGGGCTCTTCTTAGGGGTATGGCTCAGAATGATGGCGTGAACTTCAAATTTGCCACTGTACCATTGAGCTTGCCTCACCAAACCTGAAGGTCCTGTGCCATTTTAGAGTATTCCTGGGGTCAAGGGAATGCCATCAATAGGGATGATGGAGAAATCCACAACAGATTGCAATGAGTTGGGTTTTTAGGAGTCAGTCCTATGGATTCCATAGCAGATCAGTTTTTCCCAAGTTGCACTAATTCCATGGACTTGCTGACTGGTTTATTTTTATTTATTATTTATTAAAAGCTTTTATATGCCATCCTATTATATAACAATCTCAGGACAGCTTATGAATAAATGAATTAAAACAGAATAATTTATAAAACAATAAACAGTAAATCAAAAAATAAAGCAAGAGCGACTGAACGTTAAATGCTATTGATTTTAAAATGCCATTTAAATACAAAGGTTTTGACGTGGCGCCGAAAAGAGTATAAGCTCGACGCCAGGCGTACCTCTCTGGGAAGTACATTCCAGAGTCTGGGCGCCACCGCAGAGAAGGCCCTACTCCGAGTTGATGACCTTTTTAGTTCTTTTAGAAAGGGTTCCTGGAGAAGGGCTTCTCCCGCAGATCTTAAGGGGCATAAGGGCATATAAGGAAGGAGACATTCTCACCTTCTGGAATTTTACACAAATTTAGTCACAGGAAACTTTAAAAACAAGCTAAAAATGTGCATTTCCCCCATAGGCTAAAGCATGAAAATGCACAATTGGGCAGGATTTATGCATTTTATAAAGTGCAACTTTGTGGAAATGTGCATGATGCAAGTTCAGGAAATTGAGAAAAATCCAATTTTGTTGGACAGTGGACAACAGAAAGAAAGTTGATTGATGATCTGTGAAAACTGAAGCGGTGGAAGCAGTGTAACGAAAGGCTGGCTTCCTTAGCTTTCAGTGGCAGGACATTTTTTTCTTTTAAAAGCCCTGCTGCATCAGGCCAGTGGCCTGTCAAGACTGTCATCCTTTTTCTGTGCTGTAGCAGGACTAGCTCTTCTGAAACATGCTGGATTTTGACATGTTTTGAATATAAGCCATTAGATTGTCTCTTGCTTCTGCCTCCCAGGTGCCTGGTGATTGACGAAGCTGACCGGATGGTGGAGAGGGGACATTTCTTAGAGCTCTCTCAGTTGTTGGAAATGTTGAGGGAGTCTCAGTATAACCCAAAGCGTCAGACATTTGTCTTCTCTGCCACCTTGACTTTAATCCATCAGGCTCCCGCTAGAGTTCTCCAGAAGAAAAATGCTACCAGAATAGACAAAAAAACTAAACTGGAAATGCTGATCCAAAAAGTGGGCATGCAGAACAAGCCCAAAGTGATAGACTTGACAAGAAAAGAGGCCACTGTGGAGACTCTCACGGAGACCAGAATCCATTGTGACACAGAAGAGAAAGATTATTACCTCTATTACTTTCTGCTTCAGTATCCCGGCAGAACCATGGTTTTTGCAAACAGCATCGATTGTATCAAACGGCTCACTGCCCTCCTGACAATATTGGATTGTAACCCCCTGCCTCTTCATGCGAACATGCACCAGAAACAGAGGTTAAAAAATCTGGAGAGGTTCGCTGAACGCAACAGGTCAGTTTGTGTGTTTATTTTTTTACATATTTGGTTGCTGCTTTTTTCATCCTCAAAATGCTCCATGTGAAATGGCACAGAATGCAGTAAAAATCAGAACAGAGTCCATTGCCACAGTCTAATAATCCAGGAAGCACAGAGAAATTATTGTAGAAAAAAAGTTAGGTGAAAATTAAAATACCCACCCACACTCTGTTAACTGTATAGCGAAGCTTAAGGAGGGACCCAGTCAAACTTTTCTAATGGCGTATGTTTTAACCCCAGGAGCCTTGTCCAACCAGGGCACCTGACTGTAGATTTAAGCTCACCTAGGAATGCATGAAACCACCAGCCATATCATAAGATGATATACAGTTTATTGGATACAGTGATGAAATATGGATGCAGAATTAAGTAAGCAAAAGAAAGCTTGTATTCCTCTTCTCTGTGGCCATATTGGCTCCCTGAACAGGCCAAGGAATGCTCCGTGGGCCTCCAAAGAAGCTTGGGCGAATTACATATCAACTCCTTTTCCCAGGCCAGGAATGAAAGGTGACAGTGCTTGCTATGGATTTTATAGAGTTCCTCTCTCCAGCTATTGCAATGTCTGTCAAGATGCACACATTCTCCTATGGTAGGAGGCACTCTGTCACATACCCTGCTTCCATGCACTTCAGGGGTTTACAGTAAGTACCAGGACTTCTTATTGCTCCTGGGAGCGAACAAGAAGCCAGTGAAGAAAGACCCAAGGGTATAATGTTTAGCTGCATGCTACGTACAAGCTGAGAAAGCAACAGGTGTACCTGGGGTGTGCCAGGGGCCCCGTCTCTCAACCTCAGCCTTTTAGGTGGCCATCCTCAGTGTCCCTTGACCAGATAGAACATTGTCCCAACATTTCTTCTGCCTCTAAGTTATTTGCTGGGGAGCCAGGCCTCGTTTCTCAGTGAGATAGATTTGGGCCACCCCCTCGGAGTGAAAAAGGGAGCAAATTGTGTCAGTTGCAATCACAGCTGGCTTGATACTGAGGCTGAGAGTGCATCACTAACCATGACGGAGTGGGTGGTTTATCACCTGCCTTTTGGCCATGAAGGCCCAGGCAGTAGCTTACATCAATGGCCATAGACCTCAGTGGGAAAGGAGACATAACACCGCTGTTAAAATAGCAGTTGCCAATCAGTGTAAGCATTTGAGCCAAAAGTGATTGACCAAGAAAGATCCTGGAGTTGTAGTAGACTGGAAGTCAGGTCTTCCAGTCAGGTTCTCTCTCTCCCACCCCAGTAGATTGTGGTTCAACATCTTCACAATATTGAAGTCATCTGAACAAGAGTGGGCACGAAGTAGGTCTCCAGATACTTCAGACTTCGAATCGCAGCATTCCTGACCATTAGCAGGACTTTATGGTCATTGAAGTCCAAGGCACCTGGAGATCAACCTTCTGCTCAGTTCAGAAGCTATCATCCTGTCTCCCTGCTCCACACACATGTTCCTCCCTCACACTTGGATTGGGACCTTTCTGATGTCCGTGCCCTCATAGTGAAACCTTGACATTCGTGTCAACAAAAGGCACACACACTGTGGCAGTGGTTGAAACACTGCAGCATATCTAGTTGTCGTCGGTTTGCCCTGCTTTTTCATGCAGTTCTCTTCACTGCACTTGTGACATATTCACAGATGTGGTCACATCACATTCCAGCTTGGTGCATTTTAGCTCTGCTTAATGGCCACTTCTGCCATTTCAGCTGTGTCCTCTTGACCACGGATGTTGCAGCTCGGGGTCTTGATATTCCTCATGTGCAGCATGTGCTCCATTACCAGGTACTGAAACAAAATGTACTTCTGTTCTTTGCTTTTAAGGTATATGAACAAAGTGGATGGCTTCAAAATGGATGGTTACATTACCAGGCATAAAACACACGTTTCTTGTTAGATGTCTCCTTTCGTGCCACTATTTTGCAGCAATAGAACAGCTTCCTCTATATGTTTCTGATGGCTGCAGGCATTTTCCAGGAGACAACCCTGTCAGTCTTATGCTCCCCTTAGTGCTTTGGCAGAGACTACTTCCAGAGTCTAAAGCCGCTTTACTGTGCCCATCTCCTTCCTACTGACATTTCACAGCTTCTTGTTCCTAGACCTGCGTTAGGAACTTCCTTTCTAGGAAATGAAAGCCAGGATTCAAACATTGCTGAGTTCTGCAGCCAGAATGCAAGGCATTCCAGGGTCCCAGCCACTGCGTTTCAGCACCTTACTTCCTGTGACAAGGCTTCACTTCCACTGCAATCTGGCTGGACTGAGCTCTGCTTTAGAGGGTGCTGCCTAGACTATTGTCCTAGTCTGCTGCCTATGCATTCAGTCAGTTGACCTCCAAGGTCTGATCCTTGCCTCCCAGCTCTAAAGCCCCAGCCTCAGAGCTTGCTTCTCTGTCCAAACTGCCTGTTTGTGTAAGAACATGGCCCATGTTCCTAATCTATGATTCCTGATCTGCCAGTTGAGCCCTGCCTATTTTGGAACATGTGACTGTCTCCTGGCCACTGAGCTGACAGTTGTTGCTTTTGGGTTCCAGAACCCAACTTCCAAGGGCCCCAAACCACTTCACATTCTGTGACTTCCTGTGCTGCACATCATGGTAAGCCAACCCCCCCACTCCAAAAAGCCCCCTCTCTTTCTAGCTTACTGTGATCAAGCAGTTGTGCTGGTGCACACTTTTTGGTCACTCTCTGCAGCAACTAAACCCTAAGATCCTGGCTTGCTAGAAGAAGGACGACCAAGAATTCCTGTTCATGAAAGTGTTTAATTTCTTGCACTGTTGCAGGTTCCACGCACTTCTGAGATTTACGTGCACAGAAGTGGCAGGACTGCCAGAGCTGCCAATGAGGGCCTCAGCCTGCTGCTGATTGGCCCAAGTGACATGCTGAATTTTAGAAGGATTTACAAGACATTGGAGAAGAATGAGGAGCTTCCTTTTTTCCCAGTGGAAACAAAATTCATGACTGCAATCAAGGTAAAAAAAAAATGTTTTTGAAAGAAGGACTATGTATTTGCAGTGCTGCAGCTGTTGTGTTTTCCACTGTGTGTGCATTGAAGAAAAAGAACTTCAAGGTTTAGACTCAACCGTGTCACTAGTTTTAATAAAGCACACATACCAACGATCACAGGAGATAATGGAAGCTCTCCCCAGGTCCCCAGAAAGCAATAAGGATCTCTCTCCACAAAGGAATGCCCTTTGCTTATATAGCATTGCTTGGTTATACAGAGGGAAATAGAAACCTTTCCAGTTATGTCTGAACATTACAATGATCCTTGATGCACCAATGAGCAGACAGTAACTGTCTTGCTTCAGTCTTGATCCACAAGAGATGCGGCCATCATCCTATGTCCAAAAGAAATGTGAGTTATAAAAGATTATCATAATCACCACATGTTCATCCAGCCATCTTTGTTTATTCACCATATAAACCACTGCAAGAATGGGAGCAGCAAAGACTCTGCAGTCCACAGGGCTTTTGCCCCTTTTAATGTAATGCACAAATGTACAGGCAGTCCCTGGGTTACAAATGATTTCCATTCCTGAGAAAATGGAAATTCATCTTTTAAGTTGAATGTGTATGTAAGTCGGACCACATATATTCCACCCTCCACATTTGTGGGGGTTAAGGGTACAGAGCCCCTATGAAAGTGGAAAAACCACACATATCCCCCCCCCCCCCCCAAGCTCAGCACTGTCTCCTTTGCAGAAAGAAAATGCCAGAGAGATTTCCCTCTCTGGATGTATGGGGCCGGATGGCCTGTTTGGAAAGCCTCTCTCCCCTTCCATGTCCTCTCTCTCTATGGTGATGACGATTTCCTGCAGTATGTCTTTAACTCATTTTTTTAAATTTATAGGCTTTATGGCAGTTCATACATATGGATTGTTCGTAACTTGACCTTTCATAACCCAAGGACTGCCTGTAGCTACGTGTTACTCACGTTCTTGTTTCAGCCCATTTCCTACAGACTTTACAGTTGCGTTTTTGTAGGTGCTGTTTTCAATACCCACACTCTGTCCCTGTGACACACTGAGAAACAACACCTTCTGGCCATTGTGCTTTGTTGCAGGAGCGGGTGGATTTGGCACGACGGATTGAGAAGATGGAATATTTCAACAGCCGAGCGAAGCATCATAACTCTTGGCTCCAGCAGGCTGCAGAAGCGCTTGAGCTTGATCTGGATGATGATGCACTAATAGGCAAGTAGCAGTGTTTGTGCACTTTGGAGGGATAGAATCCTAGAATAATAGAGTCGGAAGGGGCCATGAAGGCCATCGAGTCCAACCTCTTGCTGTTGCAGGCCACCAAGTTACACCATCCCACTCAGATGGCTGTCCAGTTTCTTTTTGAATGTCTCCAGTGTGGGAGAGCCCAGCACCTCTCCAGGCAGCTGGTTCCACTGTTGTAATGCTCTGACAGTGAGGAAGCTTTTCCTGATGTCCAGCCTGAATCTGGGTTGACTTGATTATTCCATGTCCTACACTCTTGTATCAGCGAGAAGAGATCTTGACCTTCCTCTTTGTGACAGCCTTTGAGGTACTTATAGAGGGATATCATGTCCCCCCTCAGTCTTCTCTTCTCAAGGCTGAACATGCCCAGTTCTCTCAGTCTCTCCTCCTAGGGCAGTGTTTCCAAACCCCAGATCATTTTTGTTTCAGATGGGCCATCCGAAAAGGTGCAATAAGGGTCACAGCCCAGGGCTGAAAAGTGGAATGGTGCATTCATACATCCAGCTGTTCTGGTCGTAGTTTCTGACTTTCGCTAAAAAGCACTTTGTCACAAAGAAGCTCTGTGTGGGTGCATTTGGAGTCATGTGCGTGACTGTATTTGTGGGGTCAGCAGGAAAGTTAAGCCACAAACTCACGCAGACGTATTGGAAGCAGAAGATAGTCTCCTCTCTGAATACCTCCCAAAGGAAGCAGCTGCAAGACAGCAGCAGAACACAGCAATTCCTGGTCCTTGGAAGTGATTGTGCTTGAAACTGGGGGACGCTTGATTTGTGTGTGATGCTGTCTCATGAGTTCTCATGCTTTACTGCCTTATCCTGAGTCCAACTACTTACTACTTTGGTCAGTTCTGTCTATTCTAGGGTCCCCCAATCTTGTTGCACATTGGACCCATTTAGAAATCGAGAATCCATTATGTGCACCACCACAAAATGCTTAATCAATGGATAGTCGTATTCAGCAAAAACTTTGGTTTCATGTCCATTGGGCACCACAATGTCTCTTTAATAAAGGATTGTCTAATTGGGCTAATTGTTGGCAGTGCAATGCTGCAAATGCTTCTTTTAAGCATATGTTTTGGTGACATCCAGCAGCTGCCTCTTTTGGGGAGGAGGTTATCATACAGATAAATATTCTGCTGGAACATTCTTTAATATTCACTGTTACGCACATACTTTCTTATCATACCTGCTTCATGAAAATTAATAAACAAAAGGAGAAGTTGATTCTCTGTGCCCATTTGACAGCTAAATGACTGCTGTTACAACATTAGAAGGATAAACACTCACCTCCTATAATGCAGTTGATTGACCACCTTACAGTGTTTTCCTTATTGGGCAGGTGTAAGTCTTGCTCCCATGCTGCTTGAGCAAACCTGTGGGGAACTGGTCTGCCACTGGGTGAATACTGAACTAGATGGACCTTTGGTCTGATCCAGCACGGCTTTTGTTATGTTCATATTTGAATGGAGGGCATATAGGCACCAGCTTCAAATTGATTGTTCTTTGAATACTTGGTCCGCTTTTGTTGACTGATATGTTTAATTACTAGAAAGTTCTATGCATTTCACATGTACTCATTGCTGTAGATGTATACAAATGCATGTGCACATATTTAAAAGAGGGATTTTTTTTAAAGGATATTACTTGAGCAATAAAACTCTGCCACGGATTTTTATGTTTCTTGCTGTCTCTCTGTGCATGTGTGTCTGCAGGAGGCCAGCCCAGTGAGCAAGAAGAGAGTGAGAAACAAAAGATGCTAAAAGGGATGAAGAAGCACCTGAAACACCTGCTCTCCCTGCCAGTATTTAAACATCTTATGAAGACCAAATATCCAACACAGTCAGGAAAACTGCTTGTGTCCGATAATGCAGGGGCGCCTTCCCAGTCTGCGTTGGGTGCCATGTCAAAAGCACAAGCGAAGAAGAAGAAGAAGAAGCAGCCAAATGAAGACAAGCCAAGTAACTGACAGGAATTGTGGGGCTGCAGGAGATAGAACCCCCATTTCAGACCCCCTCTTATGCATACGAGAACCTTCTGTTCCCATATCGGTTGGTGCTTCTTGGCACAGATACTTCCTGATGTACAAACCAAATCCAGCTTCTTGCATACGATGTTTTTATAAACCCGTGTCATCAGGTAGAATCAGCAGAAGCAAGTGCAAAGACAGACGCGTCCTGTGCTAACAGGTGCAGCCTGGATCTTCCTGCACTGCTGTGTGGGAAGGACAGCAGTTCATCGGATGCCTTTGCTCCCAAGAGCAGTTGCAGCCCCCATTTTAACCCATGGTGGGTGAACATTCTAGCCACCTGGACTAGTTGCTTTAAATGAATGTGTTTGTTTTTTTAAAAAAAAGACATGAGAATTTTAAGAGCATCCCATGGATAGTCTCATAAATACAAAATGCTGAATAAATCCAAGCAGAAATTTGAGGTGTGAAATCCCGAGAATAACTGTTCTGCAGCATCAGCTGCAGAGATCAGGCTGGTTTACAAGAAAGTCACCAAACATTACTGAACACACGTACGTGTGTGTGTGTGTGTGTGTGTGTGTGTGTGTGTGTGTGTGAGTGAGAGAGAGAGAGAGAGACAGAGACAGAGACAGAGACAGAGAGAGAGAATCCTTTATTGGGTAGTGTTGTTGTTAGTCGCAAAGGCATGTCCAACCCATCGTGACCCGATGGACAACATTCCTCCAGGCTCTCCTGTCCTCCACCATCTCCCGGAGTCTGCTTAAGCTCACGCCGACTGCTTCAGTGACTCCATCTAGCCACCTCATCCTCTGCCGTCCCCGTCTTCTTTTGCCATCTATTGGTCCCAGCATTAGGTTCTTCTCCAGGGAGTCCTTCCTTCTCACTAGGTGGCCAAAGTATTTGAGTTTCATCTTCAGTATCTGGCCTTCCAAAGAGCAGTCAGGGTTGATCTCCTTTAGGACTGACCGGTTTGATCGCCTTGCTGTCCAAGGGTCTCGCAGGAGTCTCCTCCAGCACCACATTTCAAAGGCCTCAATCCTTTGGCGCTCAGCCTTCCTTATGGTCCAGCTTTCACAGCCATACATTGCAACTGGGAAAACCATAGCCTTGACTATACGCACTTTTGTTGGCAGGGTGATGTCTCTGCTGTTTAGTATGCTGTATAGATGTGCCATAGCTTTCCTCTCAAGGAGCAAGCGTCCTTTAATTTCTTGGCTGCAGTCCCCATCTGCGGTGATCTTGGAGCACAGGAAAATAAAACCTGTCACTACCTGCTACCTAGGAATTAATAATGTGATGTGGTCCTCAGTGAGTTTAAGGGATTGCCCCCTGAGCTGGTACTCTGTTGCACAGAACTGAAAGTGAAGGAGTGGATCCATCGCACTCTGAATTGCCCTAAGCTGCTCTGCAGACTCCACCTTAGCTAAGCACCATAATTTTTGTTGTAAAATGCTGCCCTGTACTCCAATAATCAATTCTTACCATTTGGAAGGGTTTCTTGGTTGCCAGTGTTCTTCAAACAGTTTTTGCTAAAATTCACTGTGCTTCCCCATCATTGTTTTCAATCCAGAAAAGGCTTCATCTGTTGGATTTCTTGTCATGCCAATCTGAAAAGAACAGAAGCCCTGCCAGGAAAGGAAGGGAGAAATAGCAACACAAAAGGTGGCTATTGTGAATATCTGTTTTTGCATGGCACTTCAAAGAAGCTCCCTGCCAATTTCAGGCTGTGAGAACCTTTTAAATCTTCAGCAGTATGAAAGCAGCTGAGGAGCTCCAGGGAGTGTATGTGATTTACAGAGCCGTAATTTTCTAGGACACTTCTAATTTCCAATTAGAAGTGTTACTAATATAGCTCTACCCAAGGGTTATACTATGAAGGACTGCACAGACAAGAGCATAAGCTCTGCTTTAATAAACTTTGGCACCTTCCTACTTTGACTTGCTGTTGCCTGGTTGTAGGGTTGCCAGTGTGTTTTTCTGGACCTTGCTGCTCTACCTCTAATAGCAACATGATCTGCAACCATTCAGAGGTGATCATAGGATCGCCCTTCCACACCCTAATTCCCCAGTTGATTTATGCCATTTAAGGCATAAATCTCCCCTGGTGAAATGTCTCAGCTCCTTCATTTGGAGGTTTATGAGAAATAACCTTAAGGAAGTCATCCTATTGAAGGCCTACTTTGTGATGGCAGTGGCGGCGGCGGCGGCATTTTTAGCTTCTGCTGATACACAGGCCAATTCAGAGTTTCTCCATCTCCTGTCCATCTTACGAGCTAGAAGGAAGCATCGGTCATAGACGGCAGGTTGTGGGGAACAACAGCAAGCTGCAGAGTCCAAAGCTGTCCATGCTACACAGCTTGCCTTCAGATGCCAGTTGGCAATGCAAGGGACCCGGCAGCTCACACCTTTCCATCTTCAATAATATATCAGTTCAAAGCTCAGCTCAGGTAACAAATGTGTTACCAGCAATATACAAATCAACACTTTGAAATAGTACCTTCAGGTCACAATTCGGTCTATATTAGTCTACAATCTAATGTTAGAAAAGATTGGACAATATGGTCTTGTAAGTTATTTCATTCAGTGCTGCAGACACTCCCCAAAGTTCCTCTTGCCAAAGCGGCTGCTTTGTTTAGGTAAGTGTAATATTTGGAATTTATTAAAATTTTACCTTCCTTTGGCATAGTTGGAGTTTCTGCTCTGCTTTTTTAGTTCTTTCATCTACAATCTGTTCCTTCATTGTGTGATTTCTTCTTAAGAGATATAGATCTCCTAGGCAGCCTTCCATCATACAGGAGAAACTTACCAAAGGGCATGCAAAATGAAAACCATAAACTTCCTTAGGGGTTATGAAGGCTGTCTTTGTTTTTAGATGCCTTGGAAATCTGTCAATAGCTGCTGGCCAGATCAAACCTAGAAAACCATTTAGCTGAATTTAGAGAACAAAGAATATCCTTCATGTGCATCAAGATACACTACCTTGTTTAATTTTGGTAATCCATACAGAAGTGTAGCTTCTCATCTTTATTTTTAACTAAAACTAGGAGTGCATCCCACATACTGGAGCTCTTCCATCATGCTAGCATCCTTGAGCATTTTGTGGTTGAAATTGTTTGGGTCTATTCTGACCTGGATTCAACTTCCAGGAGATAATCTAGAGCAGAACTGTTCAGAGTTGTGTCTTGTCCAATTATATTGATCAATAATCCCCAGAATGTTGATAAAGTGACTGATACCAATTAACCTATCGTATTATGTTCACACTTTTTAAAAAAATGCCCAAGTGTGCAGAGCACTGCAGCCTTCGCTACCCCTTTTTCCACCTTCAGCTCCATCATTTCCTTTTCAACAGGGCTAAATATTTATTATAAGCATAGGCACGTCAGACATTTATATTATGAGAAATACCTTCAGGAGTGCCATTTCCCCTGTCAGCCTACCTGCGCCTTAAGATTAATGGGAGGTGCTTCTCCGATGACCTCACTACCACGAGCGAGCGCCTTCCCAGCTGTGATGACCTGGCTAGGAAATACACTGCAAAATAAACAGCACAAGCACTTCTCTTTCTCCAGATCCTTCCTCAAAACCCATCCTTCCCAGGCAGCCTTGGCCTCAGCCACCAATCCCCATGCCCCAAGTACTGCAACCAAGTTTGTGGGCAAGGCTCAGGCTATGTGCACAGACATTTGCACCGCTTACCCCAGCCTCCGTGCCCGATCAGTGCCCATTCCGCCAAAACAGTCGGACTGTGTATGACTGTGATTAAAACTATCCCTGCAAACCCCAGGAAAGCCCAAGGCACCTTTCTAAGGTGAAGGATAAGGTGGTGCACCCTCCCTGCTTCTACGCAGAAAACTGACCAGACAGGCAGTTCAATTTTATTTCAACTATGATAACAAGATTCTCCCTTTAGTTAGTTATTTCATTTTTCTACAGCTCCATAGCCAAAGCTCTGGATGGTTTACAACCATCCAGAAAAACAAGACAATAATATGCAATAAACGTACAAGGGTAGTTTCCACTGCATTTGATTCATTAATTAAATGTGGGTGGGGGGACAGGCCGGGGACCCCGCCCTACCCAGGACTTGTCCTCTGAGGGGATTGTCTCACATGGCCTCATGGTGGGGCTGTCTGCAGTGCAAATATGTTAAATCATGCATGCAGATGTTGCATCAAAGCCTGAACATGGGCTGCCAATGCAGTTAAAAAGGGGCAGCTAAAAATTGAACAAAGGGAAGGCGGCCCAATAGAGGATCCTTGCCTGGGGCATCATTTGATCCAGGAAAAACCGCGATCTAACCCTCCTCGGTAATCAGCTGCTACTGCAGGCACTTGATCATTGTGCAACATTTAAGTTTAAAAGCACCAGATTCTTACAGCCCGTTGGAGCTGACTTGGGTAGAAGAAGTGTTGGAATTTAGAGGCAGATCACTGGATGACTTGTAGTCTGTTGGCAAAGATTTTTGACTCCAGATTGTTTACAGCAAAAGACTACTTCCCATCACCTCACACCCCAGATTATGGTGCTGCAGTGAGGAAAGGCTGGAGCCGCCAGCAGTGGGTTGCTGTGCAGAAGGACTGTTAGCGCCATTCCGTTCTGGTGCTCAAAAGAAATCCTTGGACTCAGAATTATTTAATTCTATACCTTTTATCCCAGTTTCTGGTTGGTGGATCTTGAGGTTCTGGGGGGAAGGGGGGATCAAAATAGCTTCTGAAGGCCTAAAGTCTGCCACTCCTGCCTTAGATCACTGCCTTGTCGTGGCGAAGGGGCTTGCGTAGCGCAATGAAGCTATGAGCTATGCCGTGCAGGGCCACCCAAGACGGACAGGTCATAGCAGAGAGCTCTGACAAAAGGTGATGCACTGGAGAAGGAAATGGCAACCCACTCCAGTATCTTTGCCATGAAAACCCCATGGACAGTACCAAAAGGCAAAAAGATATGACGCCGGAAGATGAGCCCCTCAGGTCGGAAGGTGTCCAATATGCTACTGGGGAAGAGCGGAGGGCTAGTATTAGTAGTGCCAGAAAGAATGAAGTGACTGGGTCAAAGCCGAAAGGACACTCAGTTGCGGATGTATCTGGTGGTGAAAGGAGAGTCCGATGCTGCAAAGATCTATACTCCACAGGAACCTGGAATGTAAGATCCATATGGGAATCAAGGCAAGCTGGACGTGGTCAAACAAGAGATGACAAGACTGAATAACGACATCTTAGGAATCAGTGAACTAAAATGGACAGGAATGGGTGAATTTAATTCAGATAACGATCAGGTATACTACTGCAGGCAAGAATTCCTCAGAAGAAATGAAGTAGCCTTCATAGTCAATAAAAGAGTAGGAAAAGTAGTACTGGGATACAATCTCCAAAATGACAGAATGATCTCAGTTCGAATCCAAGGAAAACCATTCAACATCAAAATAGTCCAAGTCTATGCCCCAACCACCGCTGCTGAACAGGC